GCTCTTCAAGGTTTAAACTGTTTACGAAGTGCAAAAAGACTGTAATAAGCTCTGAGTGCATGTGTGCATGCATGTGTGAGTGTGTGGGAACCTTAGAGGCTTGTGTCTACGGATCCAGTTTGTGGCTCCACAGTGAAAGCTGCAGAGTCCGTGTGGGCCCCACCCTGCGGTTCCTTCTTTCTGGAACTTTTTGATGTACACCAGGTTGGAAGGGGTGGCAGGGCCCAGCCAGATCAGGAACTGGATTAGGGTGTGTTCCCTGAACGAGTGGCTGGATGATGCCCTGCACCTGTCGGAGGGACTGCAAGTACTCTAAGAGATTTCCCTGGGATATTGCTGCCGAATGGGCATCCTTTAACCTGGGTAGTTTGGGAGGTGCCCTTCCATATACGATTTCAAAAGGAGAGAACCCTGCTTTATGGGGAGTGCACCTTACTCTAAGGAGGGCTAAAGGAAGGAGTTTTGTCCAACCATCACCAGTTTCCAAGATCAATTTTGTAAGAGTACTTTTTAAGGTCCGATTCATGGGCCTTCTGGAAGGTTCCCCAACTGTCAGCAGCAGGGCCCCCCCAGGGACTCGCTTCACTTTCTTGATTTGCCGTGTCAGGAATCTGCTCCCAGAGCGTCCCGAGGGCCCTGTCTGAAATCACACCTGCCTTGACCACCTGCCCCCTGAACTGTCTCCTTGTCACTGCTCTTCATGGCAATAAACAATTCCTACGGCACATATTCATCTTGTTGTCTGTCGCTTCCAGTCCGAAAGTTCATGAAAATAGAAACTTTTTATTTTATTCACTGTTCTTTCCCCTAAACAGAGACTCCCATATGGTTGGCACCCTCACTGATTCAACAAAGATTTACTGAGTCTGCCTACTATGAAGAATAACTATGTGAAATAGTGCGGTAGCCAGGTGTGGCGGCACATGCCTGGAATCCCAGCACTACAGGGGGGTCCAAGGCATGAGAATCTCTTGAGCCCAGGAATGTGAGTGTGAGAGCAGCCTGGGCAACACAGCAAGACCCTGTCTGTACAAAAAATAAAAAAAGCCATGCATGGTGGCTTGCGCCTGTAATCCCAGAGGGTTGGAAGGCTGAGGCTGAGGCAGGAGGAGCCCTTGAGATCAAGAGTTTGAGGCCAGCCTGGGCAACACAGTTGTACCAAAAAAAAAAAAAATAGCTGGGCATGGTGGCATGTGCCTGTGGTTACAGCTACTTGGGAGGCCAAGGTAGAATGGCTGGAGCCTGGAGGTCAAGGCTGCATTGAGCCATGATGATGCCACTGAACTCAAGCCTGGGTGAAAGAGTGAGATTCTGTCTCAAAATAATAACAATAACAATAATAATAATAATAATAATAATAATGGCCAGGTGTGGTGGCTCACACCTGTAATCCCAGCACTTTAGGAGGCTGAGGCAGGTGGATCACTTAAGGCCAGGAGTTCAAAACCAGCCTGGCCAACATGGTGAAACCCCATCTCTACTAAAAATAGGAAAATTTAGCTGGGTGTGCTGGTGCGTGCCTGTAATCCCAGCTGCTTGGGGGTGCTGAGGAGGAGAACCGCTGGAACCCGGGAGGCAGAGATTGCAGCGAGCTGAGATTGTGCCATTGTACTCCAGCCTGGATGACAGAGTGAGACTCTGTCTTAAAAAAAAAAAAAGGTAATAATAATAATAATGAGATAGAAGGTGCTGTGATATGGAAAATTCAGAGCAGGGCAAGAGTGGATGGGGTGGGCTGATCTGGGAAGGCCTCATGTAAAGGGAATAGTCTGGCAAACACTTGACGAAGGTGAGGGAGGAACCGTGCACCTGTCAGGGAAGGTGCACTCCAGGCAGACGGGTCAGCCAGTGCAAAGGCCCTGTGGCAGAAGCATGTTTACAGAGCAGCAAGGAGTTGAGAATGTCTGGAGTGGAGGATGCTGGGGCGGGGTAGGGGGAGTAGTATTAGGAGAGGTCAAACATGAAATGAGATGGCAGCGGAGATTTTCTCCATCAACAAATGCACCCATTTTAAGTGATGGGTTTTGACCAATGGATAAATCATATAGCCATTGCCTTGATCAAGATATAGAACATTTTCATTACCCCCCAAAGCTCCCCTGTCTCCCTGTAATCAATCCCCCATCTCCCATCCCAGGTGCCAGGTACCTTTGTTGCTAGAAATTCTTGCTTCTCCTTGTGTAGAATTTCATTTAAATGGAACCATGCAACACATTCCCTTCTGGGTCTGGCTTCTTTTGCTTGGTAGAAAGACTCTGAGATTCTTCCATGGGAGTTTATGAATAGTTTCTTTGTTTTGCTGTCTAGAATTCCATTGTATGAGATAGCACAGCTTCCTTTTTTTGGTTGTTTTTTGAGATGGAGTCTCGCTCTGACACCCAGGCTGGGGTGCAATGGTGCCATCTTGGCGCACTACAACCTCTGCCTCCTGGGTTCAAGTGATTCTCCTGCCTTAGTCTCCTGAGTAGCTGGGACTACAGGCATGTACCACCATGCCCAGCTAATTTTTGTATTTTTAATAGATACGGGGTTTCACCATGTTGGCCAGGATGGTCTCGATCTCTTGACCTCATGATCTGACTGCCTCAGCCTCCCAAAGTGCTGGGATTACAGGCGTGAGCCACCGCGCCCGGCCGAGATAGCACAGCTTCTTTATCCATTCACCTGTTGAAGGACATTTGGATTGTTTCCAGCTTTTTACTGTTGTGAATAAAGCTGCTATGAACGTTTATTTGTGTACAAATGATTGTGTGGATAAATGTGGCATTTCACTTGGGTATGTACCTAGAAGAGGTATTTCTGGGTTGCACAGTTAGTGTATGTTTTTCTTTTCTTTGTATTTTTAGTAGAGAAGGGGTTTCACCATGTTGGCCAGGATGGTCTTGATCTCTTGACCTCGTGATCTGCCCGCCTTGGCCTCCCAAAGTGCTGGGATTATAGGCGTGAGCCACTGCACACAGAATGTTTCACTTTTCAAGAGAGCATCAAGGTGTTTTCCCCAGGGGTTGAACCATTCACTTCCCATCCAACATGTGAGTGGCCCGTGCTCTCTATTTTCCCCAGGACATGCGGTATTGTCAGTCTTTCCAATGGCGGCCATAGTGGCGGGTATGGGAGCAACCTCACATTGGGATTGTAATCCGAATTTCTCTGATGACTAATGACGTCATTTCTTCCTGCGCTTCGAGCTACTTGCGTATCTTCTCTTGTGAAGTACCGTTCAAACCTTTTGTCATACTGTATCGCCCAGGCTGGAGTACAGCGGCATGATCTCAGCTCACTGCAACCTCCACCTCCAAGGTTCAAGCTATCCCCCTGCCTCAGCCTCCCGAGTAGCTGTGACTACAGGTGCCCGCCACCATGCCTGGCTAATTCTTTTACTTTCTGTAGAGACAGGTTTCACCATATTGGCCAGGATTGTCTCAAACTCTTGGCCTCAGGCAATCTACCTGCCTTGGCCTCCCAAAGTGCTGGGATTACAGGCGTGAGCTACTGTGCCCTGCCTGGCCTTTTCATTTTCTTACCAGTATCTTGAGCAAACATTTCTAATTTTGATGAAGTCCAATTTATTAATTTTGTCCATCTATTTATTGATTTACAAAAGTGGAATCTATGGTATACATCCTAACTTTTTTTTTTTTTGAGATGGAATTTCACTCTTATCTCCCAGGCTGGAGTGCAGTGGTGTGATCTCAGCTCACTGCAACCTCTGCCTCCCAGGTTTACGCAATTCTCCTGCCTCGGCTTCCCCAGTAGCTGGTATTACAGACACCCACTAATTTAGCCCTGCTAATAATAATAAATTAGCCCTGCTAATTTTTGTATTTTTAGTAGAGACAGGGGTTTCACCATGTTGTCTAGGGTGGTCTTGAACTCCTGACTTCGGGAGATCCACCCACCTCGGCCTCCCAATGTGCTGGGATTACAGGCGTAAGCCACCGCACCTGGCCCTTCATGAAGTTTTAATACATGCACACATTGCGGAATGACTGAATCAAGCTGATTCACATGTGTATTACTTCACATTCTCAGCATTTTTTTGTGATGAGAACACAAAATCGATTTTTAGAAATCCTCAACTATACATTGTTATTAACTAGAGTCACAGTGAGGTACAATAGATCTCTTACTCCTCCTGTCTCAATTTTTTTTTCTGTGTTGTCGTGTCTTGTCTAAGAAATGTTTGCCTAACCCAAGGTTGTGAAGGCGTTCATGTTTTTTTTTTTTTTTTGAGGCAGGGTCTCTCTCTGTCACCCAGGCTGGAATGCAGTGGTGCAACTTGGCTCACCGCAACCTCAACTTCCCATCCCAGGCTCAAGTGATACAGGCATGCACCACCACACCTGGTTAATTTTTGTGGTTTTGGTAGAGATAGTGTTTCTCTATGTTGCCCAGGCTGGTCTTGAACTCCTAAGCTCGAGCGATCCTCCTGCCTCAGCCTCCCAAAGTGCTGAAATCACAGGCATGAACCACTGTGCCTAGCCTCTCTTCATAACTTTTATGTGTAGGTCCACAGAAAGTTTTGAGTGAAGAACCGCCATGATCTGACTTATGCAGATGCTTCTGGCATCACTCTGCTGTGGTGAGCCTGTGGCAGCCCTGAAGGCAGACTTAAGGACACCTGTCAGGAGACCTTTCCATCCATCCAGACTTGGAGCAGCCGGGGCAGAGTATAGTTAGGAGTAGAGGCCACATTCTGGAAATGTTTCTCAGTGAGCTTTCCGGGGTAAGTCCTTCAGCCCTCCTTGCTGAATAATATTCAACTTTACGAAGTTATTTCCTTTCTCCGAAGACTCCAGTGCTTGTGGCTTCCCATGAGGCCATGTGTAGGTACAGAATTGTCCTGAGCCTTGAGCGATGTTTGCTATGTATTCTAACGTTTCCCTATTTTAAAGGAAATAGCTGGTTTTAAGTTTTAATCCACAGATTGTCATTCTTCAGGGATGGCAGCCCCAAACACAGCATGACATCTCATCTACTCACTCATGAAAGATTAAAAAATGGAAATCAACATATTTCATGTCATGTTCTGCGTCACTTCTGCTCAACTCATAAATCCACGTCTCTCTGCTTTGGCCACTTCAACTCGTATCCAATCCTTTCTTTAATTCATGATTTATTGCTGTAAGTTACTTCTTTGTGCCAGATTTATAAACTCACTGTTCTTTATATAATACCTACTTTGTACACTAGGCAACAAGACCGTTAATTTATTGTCTATGACTTGTTACCTTGAAAAATTACATCAATGCTAAGTGATTGCCTTTTAGCCTCCATAGCCAATGAATTTATTTTATTTTTTTGGAGAGGATGATGTAAGGTCATAGGATGATATATATAATCAGTGAGCAGAATGAGAAGGAGCAGGTTGAGAGTTCGCTACACGAGAAGACAAGAAGGGAGAAGCCGTCTATTTTGTCTGTCTCGCAGCCATCATGTATAAGCTGGTCTCCTGCTGTTTGCTCTTCATAGGATTCTTAAATCCTCTCTTATCTCTTCCTCTCCTTGACTCCAGGGAAGTATCCCTTCAACTCTCAGGTAAGATTTTTTTTCCCCTTTATGTTAGTCTTGAAAGAGCCTTCACCAGTCTTAAATTCAATGTTAGAGATAAGAATGGGATTCCTGCTCAAAGGGGTTTTGGGTCTTGTTCTATCAATACTTCCAGCTTTGAAAAGAATATTAGAGGATCCTCACTACACATGTTTTTAGATGTAGAAATGGATACAGTTTTTTTTTTTTTTTCTCTCTCTCCCTCTCTACAATGTAAAAGGAGAAAAGGGAGACTATTTTGTTTCAGGTTGCCTCTGTAGTTCAGATTCTTGCTTTGGGTAACATAATTTTTTTTTCCAATTTTAAAAATTGCATGCAATTTAAAACGTCATTACTTTTGGTTTTTACTTTAAATAAACTGACTGTAGCACTGGTTGTTCTAATTATAGATTTATAATGGATTTATTTGTTTTACCTTATATTATGTTAAAAAATCATCTGATGTGTGTTCCATGAAACAAAAATGTTCATTAAATTTTTTTTTAAATGACAAACTAGGGAGCTAGGGAGCTCATAGATTTCCAAGTATGTTGATCGTTTCCTTTAAGTTAATTCAGTTTAAGTCTAAGTTAAGTTAAAAAATATATCAGTCAAGTAGGACTCATCTTGCCATTATCTTTCCATTTCGTTTAAGAAATGAAAAGGCTAATGCTGGGGTATTAGGCTCCATCGAAATCTGAACTAGATTTAATCTTGTCTTAAATCTTGAGTACTTCTAGACTTTTTTTTTAAATAAAAAAAAAAAAAAAGCTTCTCTAAGCCATGGAATTTCTAATTTCTAGCCTCTAAAAGTTCATCCCGAGCAGCTTTCTGATGATTACCGGGCACTGTCATAAAGCACTGTCAATCAACTTCCCTAGTCACTGAGATGCTTCCTGGCGGTCCTCTAATGGTCAAACACAGGCATTCAATTACTGAATCGCTGCTGTTTACAAAGAAACAGTGCACATCTCAAGATGAAATAAGAAATGAAAATATTCAGATATTACTGTCATCTTCAAAAATCTACACATAATTTAAGAAACTTAGGTGAAATGAGTGTAGCATCTCACTCAGATTCTAACAAGTGGCAGCTTAGCTCAGAATTTCTTCTCATTTATTTCTCCAGAAATGAGCTTTCATGACATCAAGCACTTACAGATGATCAAGCTTTATGGATTTCATTAACATTCTTCAGAAGTGCTATGAACGTGCTCAGCTGCCTTTATGATGGGCCTTCACCATCCTCCACAAGGTTGCAGGGATTTGTAAGCCTGTGGAGTGGCGGTGCTGCACGTGGCCTCCCACCCCGACTCCCGCAGCCTCGAATCGCAGCACGGTGGCAGGCTGCACTTACCACGCCGCACATACACGTTATTTAACACACCCCGGAGTGCCTGTTCCACACACCTTACGCACACTTACCACACATTCTATACGCCATCTGGTCAACCACTTTTCACAAAGGAAACGCCACAGTCAAGTTCCTTACAGATTATTTGGAAGCTGATTCTAATAACTGTATTGAAATCTTGAGGTTCAGTAAGAAAGAGGTGATGCCATCCTACTGTCTTTATAGGAAGAACATAAACAATCCTTATTTTTCCTCTCACTCCAATTTCCCCACGCTAATATCTAAAAGTGGAAGGGCAGTAAGCAGCAGTAGATAAGCAGAAATGAGGGACAGTCCGACTTCTTGAACCAAAACGGTTTTGAGAGAGCCTGTGGCTCAGCCCTAAGCTCGTGTTCGAGGCTTCACACAGGCGTCCGATCCACGCCTCCCGGCTTCCTGTTCTGCGCTGGCACGCGGGGGGCAGCATTTCCACTTCTCTTTTAGAATATGCTGATGACACATCATGAACTTAATGCAGGAAGCTTTTCTGGTGTTCATCTCCCTATCTCTGGTACTCTCCAAAGATACAAGGAACAGAAATAACTAATTGAAGGATGAACCAAATTGCGAGTGTCTGTTTTTACTCTGTAGCACCTGATGAAGATGTGCCGTTAACTCTGGAGGATCTAGAAAGAGCTTCCCTTCTGCAGATATTGCCAGAGGTGCTGGGTGCAGAAAGAGGGGATGTTCTCAGGAATGCAGGTAAAAATCTTCTTGTGTTTATGGCATGTCTGATTTAATTGCTACTGAACTTACCATCTGTCTTTGTCTAGAAGAGGCAAAGCCCTGTTTTGTAATGTAAAGATGAGCTATATAGCCAGAGGTGGTGGCTCACGCCTGTAATCCCTGCACTTTGGAAGGACGAGGCAGGCGAATGACAAGGTCAGGAGTTCAAGACCAGCCCAGCTAACATGGTGAAACCCCGTTTCTACTAAAAATACAAAACATTAGCTGGGCGTGGTGGTGTGCACCTGTAACCCCAGCTACTTGGGAGGTCAAGGCAGGAGACTCACTTGAACCCGGGAGGCAGAGGTTGCATTGAGCCGAGATCACGCCACTGCACTCCAGCCTGGGTGACAGAGTGAGACACCATCTCAAAAAAACAAAAAACAAAAAAACAGCTATATAAAATAAGTAGTTGCCAACACTCTCCCCTCCGGCCTCTGCAACCAGCTTTTCTGCGGCAGCTCCTCACACACGCCATGCCCTTTGGCATCTCAGCATTTTGTCTTTCTGTGTGGACTTTTACTTTTTGGAGGGTAGGAGTTGGTGGTAATTATTCCAGTTTCCAGTGAGTGCAATTTAAAATCCTGGTTTCCCACTTACTGAAACCTTAAACAAAGTAATCTTTCTGTGCTCCAGTTTTTAAATCTGTAATCAGAAACGATGTTTCCACCTCAGAAGGTAACTTGTGAAGAGTCAATGAGTCAAGACAAGTAAAATGCTCGAGTCACACAGAAAATAATCAATAGTCAGCTTGTCCCCCACGGCCACATTCCTCCAAGCATTGACACGAGCGCTCAGGAAGTTCTGGAAACAAAATTGAGCCTTTTGCTGAGCACAGTGGCTCACACCTATAATCTCAGCACTTTGGGAGGCTGAGGTTGGCAGACCACTTGAGGTCAGGAGTTTAGGACCAGCCTGGCCAACATGGTGAAACCTCGTCTTTACTGAAAATACAAAAATTAGCCATGCGTGGTGGCAGGTGCCTGTAATCCCAGCTACTAGGGAGGCTGGGGCAGAAGAATTGCTTGAATCCTGGAGGCGGAGGTTGCAGTGAGCCAAGATCTCACCATTGCACTCCAGCCTGGGTGACAGAGTGAGACTGTTTCAGAAAAAAAAAAAAAAAAAAAAAAAAAAGCCTTTTAATAGGTATTGTTTAATAGACAGTTCATTTGTTATAAAATATCTTTGACGAACTACTGTACTGCTAAGTTACTGAGGAAAATGCAGTGACTTTTGTGAACTCAAGGTAAGAACAGGAGTCCCTGTGTGCATTCCAGAAAGTTTTGCTGCAGTGTGCAAAAAGACTAGAAACTAGTCGTAATTTAGTAACATTATACATGTACATGTGTATATATTAAAACAAACATACAGGAGAAACAACGGATCTGATGAATTGGTTTCAAAACTGTTTTTCAGACTCGAGAACCAACATTTTTAACCCAAGAGGAAATTTGGGAAAGGTAAGTGACTCTATTTATGAGTGAGGTTTAAAAGGTGAACGTTCTGTGCTAATTTTACAGGACTCTGAATTCATGAATGAGGAGCGTTCTTGGTGGAAACCACACCTTAAACTAATTGGCCAGCAATATTTCAAAGCATTAATTTTTCCAAATTTTGATTGATATGCGATCTGAATGCAACAAGAACTTACCAGTGCCTGTTTTGGGTAGATCACACTGGTTGTGAAAGAATGAAAAAAACAGGTGAGGTCCCTGCTGTCCAGCCTGGCATTCACTTGTGCTCTCATCTGCCATCTAACCTGCGGCCCCGCCAGCAGCACTGGGAGCGCCTGGAAGCCAGTGAGGAATGCAGAATTTCAGGGCCACCTAGCGCCCGCAGAAGCAAAGTCTGCATCTTAACAAGATCCCCAGCTGATTCCCATGCACGTGAAAGCATGGAAAGCACTGCAATAACATCTCATGGAAGAAGGCCATGCCCCAGACATTGACGTGAACCGTGTGCAGGAGGCTGGGCGCAGTGGCTCAGGCATGTCATCCCAGCACTTTGGGAGGCTGAGGCAGGCAGATCACTTGAGGCTGGGAGTTCGAGACCAGTCTGGGCAACATAGCGAAACCCTGTCTCTAGAAAAAATACAAACTTAGCTGGGCATGGTGGCATGCCAGCTACTCAGGAGGCTGAGGCAGGAGAATCACTTGAACCCAGGAGGTGGAGGTTGCAGTGAGCTGAGATGGCACCACTGCACTCCGACACAGGCAACAGAGACTCCATCTCAAAAGAATACAACACAACACAACACAAACAATACAATATTTTATACAGAAGATAATAAATGCACAGAACATGTTACTGACTTTTTATTTATTTTTGAGACAGGGTCTTGCTCTGTCACCCAGGCTGGAGTGCAGTGGCGTGATCTTGGCTCACTGCAACATCCACCTCCTAGGTTCAAGCAATTCGCATGCTTCAGCCTCCTGAGTAGCTGGGACTACAGGAGCCCACCACCACACCCAGCCAATTTTTGTAGAGATGGGGTTTTACCAAGTTGCCCCAGCTGGTCTCGAACGCCTGAGCTCAAGTGACCTGCCCGCCTCGGCCTCCTAAATTGCTAGAATTACAGATGTGAGCGACCCGCCCAGCCACTGACATGATTTAAATAGAAATCGGTCAATGAGGGTTTAGGAAAATTCATGACCATCACTGGTCTGAACAGACTGGAGGCACACTGGTTAGAGGCGGGGAGGTGGGCACAGGAGAGTGTCCCACTGGGCCAGGGACACTCGTTACAATTACAGTCCAGGGAAAAATGCAAATACTTTTAAGAAGTCCACTGTCTTGACTAAAGATTTTTTTTTTGTGCAGAACTCTTCATTTGTTGGTAACTTATGTTTTTTTTTTGATTGTTTTAGTTTCAGGCTTTCTCTGGACAAGATCCTAACGCTTTACTGAGTCATCTTTTGGCCAGAACCAGGAAACCATACAAGAAACGTGAGACTTCTAATTGCTTCTGGAAATACTGCGTCTGAAGTGAAATGAGCATCTATTAGTCAGCTCAGAAACACCCACCTTAGAACACGAAAAATAAAACAATGCTTGATTTGAAAACAATGTGGAGAAAAACCAGGCAAACTAACCCCTGTTCATTTTCACCTGGAAAATAAATCCTCTATGTTTTGCACATACCATGAGTGGTTATTTTCCCTATAAACGTGTCCTGAAAATTTAAAATTATTCCTTTCTTCCATTTATCCTAGAAATTCTTTGAAAATTCAGAAGTGAAGCTAATAAATGAACAGAAGCAAACACTAAGAAAAAGTCATGAAAGTTAAACTTGTTAAATGACAAATCATTTAAGTAAACGACATTATCTTAGCTATGATGTCCTTCCAACTCTTAAAAAAGAGAACATACTACTTAAAAAATAAAGCACAGCCAGGCACAGTAGCTCACGCCTGTAATCCTAATGCCCTTTGGGAGGCCGAGGTGGGTGGATCACTTGAGCTCAGGGGTTTGAGACCATCCTGGGCAACATGATGAAACCCTGTCTCTACCAAAAAGACAAAAATTAGCTGGGCATGGTGGCGGGCGCCTGTAGTCCCAACTGTTCAGGAGGCTGAGGTTTGAGAATCTCTTGAACCTGTGGGGCAGAGGCTGCAGTGAGCCGATACCGCAGCACTGCACTCCAGCCTGGGCAACAGAGGAAGATTGTCTCAAATATAAAAAATAAAGTTACAAAATAAAATACAAAATAAAAAAAAATAAAAACAAACCAATATCTTAGCTTGGAAAAATCTCTGAAGTTAAGGATGTCTGAGATGAAGGGCAGGTGTGTCTGATGCTTCCTGGTTTCTGAAGTTGGTGGGGGATGTTCATGTGCTGAGATTCTATCTTTTAGCTGACCAAAGTCCTGAACACTTGAAAACTTTAATCTTTTAACATTAAGACTTGTATGATCTCAGTTTCTGTGAGCTCAAGGATCACAGTTTCTTACACTAGGGAAAAACACCTTGAGGTTTCTAATAGAAGAAAGCTGAGGCAAGATTTACAATTGTGGAAGCAATAGCCTGGCTTATGAATTTTTACAAATCATGTGTATAAGTACTGACAGATTGCATGAATACATCTGTATCATGTGGTTTACATATGTATAGAATATACAGTGATACAGTGTGAACTCCTGAGAGTTCTGTGTGGTTCTCGCACAAAACCATGTACACGGGAGGCCTGTGTGGGTAACACCCCCATGGGCACCCAGGAAGGAGAACTATGCAGACCCCAGGCACAATTAGTATCTGAAGTATAACTCGCTGCTTACTTACATCTAGCTTATATATATAATCATATTTAGTCCCATATAATCTGCCAGATCTGTAGGGCTGTTGGCCCCATGGGGTCGTGGGGTGTCCCTTATGCTGTGCTGAGATGCAGGATCTGAGAAGTGGTGACAGGACACTGAAGAACTGGAGAAGAGCAGCTGGACTTGTGGCCCAAGCCACCAATGAGCAAAGACAGGCAAGGCCCCAAACGTCTAGAAGCGTCTGTATTTATTAGGCACAAGGCAGGGGGAAGGGTCGTGAGTGAGGTCATCATCTATAGGCTTAGTGATAGGGCATACATAATCACGTAACAAACGGGGCCACCCCATATGTCACCTGGACAGACGGGGGGTAGGGGGGCTGTGAGCAGTAAGGGGCCATGCCATGTGCAGTAATAGAGGGTCATGTACAGAAAAGGGGTCCACCCCCATTAGGTCACTGAGGGAAGGAGGTGGGCTGTGTACAACAGGTGTCGTGCACAATACTTCTTATCTGGGGGCTGGAGATTTCAAAGGATTTCTAATAGAAGGATACTGTAAGCCAGTGCAGTGGGAGCTGACAGACTTGTGCTCTTATTTATGGGAGGCTGACTTGAGCTAGCACAGAAGCAAGAAAAGACTGACAGGGTGTACAGCTCTCATGACTGGTCACACCAGAGGGGTTCTTCTTCCTCGGTTATTTGTGGGATCTCAGGCCTGAGGTCTACTTTCCACAGGAACTGGATGCAAGGTACTACAGCTCCTTTATCAGGAGGAGAGGCTCCTGCTCCAACCCTGCCAAACACTGTATACCCTTTCAGGCAGGGACGCCACCACCTAGGTCTTTGGTTCTTGTCCTGGTCTGGCTATTTTCCCATGTACTGCTTCTGTTCTGTGACTGCTCCGGGCATTCCTCCTACTACAAACTACTATATGGTTATATAGGAGTCTATAAATCAGCACTAAATGTGTCAGTACAGCTCCGACTACATCCGTTATATGATTATATGGAACTAAGTGTGATTATATATATAAGCTATAGTAAGCAGTAAGTTATATGAATATATAGAAAGATTATATGGGACTAAGTATGATTTTATATATATAAGCTAGATATAAGTAAGCAGTGAGTTATACTTCAGGCACTAATTAATTGTGCCTGGGGTCTGCAGTTCCCTTTCCTCGGTGCCCACAGGCGTGTTGCCCACAGGCCTGGATTTTTATGAGAAACTAGTTTCCCTTGTTGAGCTCTGGCACCCCACCACATCCAAGAGGAAGGGTCGGCACCAACCAAACAGCAACACGCAACTTGTGTCAATTTCATCACCAAACATCACACGTCTCCTAGAATACAGGTCTCATAGAGTTTACCTTGTTGAAGCCATCAAGAACAAATCTAAGGGAGAGATGTTTTAAACTTGAAGAATGAATGCACAAGCTCAGAACATGCTGACATTGAGGAGAGCTATGATAATATTGTGGTATGCCTCTCATTGTTGAAATTAAACCAATCCTAGTTCTCTGGAACAGAATGTTGGCATCACAAAACTGTTCTGTATCAGAGAGAACTTAAAAATGAAATTCCATGGTAGAGTAATTCCAAAATCCCTACTCATGTTAGTGATGTCAGGTGAAGATGCAGAGAGACCGGGGGCTCTCCCGTCAGGTTTCCGGGTGGATTCCTACTCCCACTGCACACCAGCTGTGTCTTTGACCTAGTTATTTGACTCCCTCTGCCTCAGTTTCTCTGTGAAACGAGGACAATAACCATGCTTATTTCACAGGCAGTTGTGAGGATTAAATAATTCACGTCAAGCACTTAGACTAGCGCCTGTCAGAGTAGTATACATGCAAAGTATACTTCGCTATTTTTCTTCCTGCTCTTGTTACAGTTTTTGCTACCGAAAAGAAAGGTGCAAATGGTCTGAAAGGCGTCAACTTTAAAAAGCTCTGTTGGCTTCAGGATCTTGTTCCGTATTTTAATTTCTAGGTTTTGTTGCCACCAGTTACAGAGTCAGATCTTGTACACAGGTTCACCCTACAAAATCTATTAAGAGAAATTTTGATAACCGAATTTTATACATTTGACATTACAGTAAGTATTAGAAATATGTACATATATTCAGGATCCAACAAATTCTTCAGAGGGCTGAAATGGGGACTAACCCATTTATGCTGGAGATTGGATTTTTGTGTGTGTGTGTGTGTGAAAAATCAGACCTTGGCAATGACTTTGAGCAGTAAGATATAAATAATTCCCACAAGCTTAGCATTCCAATAATGGAACATTAGGTGTAAATGGGTTAAATAAGCCAATAAATTCCCAAGTGCCTGCCTCTTCATCCTCCATTCAGTAGGCGCTCACACTGGCCAATGAGAACACAGAATGTGGCTGAGAAAGCAAAGTTAACCAATGTGAGGGCCCCGACAGACCACAAGAAACAGTTCTAAATGACACAGAACACACACTCAAAGATCTGTCAACACAGGGCGGGACAGTTTCTCATGTTTTACATGTACACAAGTTTATCGTTTTTACTTAAAAAGACATCCAATTCAAATATTACTAATGATTAAAAACAAATTCAGAGTTAATTATACATTCAGTTGAAACAAAATTTCAATTTGGATTAAATATACACTGTGAATTATAATGAAGTTTCACTCAATTGCAAAACGATTCCATTCATACAGCATCTTGTTTTTCATAAATCTTGACCTCTGACCAAAGAAAATACAGCTTCTGGATAACATTTATGTAAACACTGAAGCCTATAATATACATTTTTACTTCCATTTTCTATAGTCATTAATATAAAAAGTTAATAAATTTGAACAACAAAGTTTAAACTGGCGAGAGCCCCCTTGGGGGTCGGTGGTCCAGCTGCTGAGCCCCCTGCTCACCGCCAGCAGCAGGTGCAACCCGAGTACGTGGACACCTCCACCCACAACAGGAGTGCTCCTCATGCTCTGACAGTTCTGTGACAAGCACCAGTTTCCAATGAAACCTCGTATAACATGTACTCCAGAAAATGTGTACTAAGGCAAAGAAATGAGCACATTTGGATAATACAGATATCCAGAAATGATGGAAAGAAAGGATTCTGTTAGAGAACATAAGCCTTAAAATAGGCGTGTATGAATGCACAATGGTCCTGATAGCTATAGGTGTTGTTCTTATTTACAGAAGCAAAAAAACTGTATTACTACAGAAGATCACTGACAGACAATCTACCGGCTGGTTGTTTCAAATTTGATTTTTTCATCAAGCCAAAATACCACACAGCCTGATCAACACATACACAAAGGCTTCAGAAATCATTTAAGTATAAAGATGGAGCAGAATATGAGAGCTATGTATAAAACGGGAATATCTGCATGGAACTGTTTAATATCAGAAAATTCAAGGACTGTCAGAGGCAGCATTTGAAAATAGTTCTGACACCTTAAGATGGAATTATCATCCAGAAAACCACTACTTCGAAAGAAAATCTGAGCTACGGGGATGGTCCTCGTGGATAAAAAGGTTGATTTTCCTAATCATTATCAGGATGCATTTACAAAAAGCTGTAACACTTCAAAGGAGAAAGAAGCATTTCCATAAAACAACCACAAAAAACAAAAACAACAAAAAAAGGGAAGACAAAAATAAGTTAGTTTGTTGCAAGTTATATAAAGACAAAAGGTTACTGTAACCTTCATTTTGTATTTTTTTTTCCTGACTTCCAGGGGTGTGAATTTCATGTATCATTCCAAGTTTGAGAAAGAATCAGGGACTTCTCTAAAGAGCACCAGAGAGTGAGCTGATTTATCAATTAAACAATCACACTCACTTCTTAAAAGACACAACTACAACTGCCACAGAAAGTACTGACTGCAGGAACCGCAGGGCCTTGTGGGAAGGACAACTGAGCTCCCTGGATGTTTTCTCCTGCGCAATCCCCATGACACTTACCCCTGTTCAAGGGCAAACAAAGGCAGAGCCAATCAGACCTCTGGTAGGGCTGGAGTGACCTCTTTTGTATAAATTGATTGGAAAGAAAGAGTTAACTGTTAGTTTTGGTAAGAATGAAAATTTAAATACAGAAGTATACAAGAATGATACTAGCTTTTACATTACTTGTGAAACTTTTTACAATTAAACAAAAACATTCAAAAGGGCAACACCATTGGTTGAATAAGCAGCTCTTTCACTTTAACATTACACATGTAAATGCTAACTTAAACTCTCAAAAGAATAAGCCCATGGTAAGCTGATCAATGTTCAGAATTTCACTGGAAGGTAGGAAATCAGTAGGAAAGGCATCTGCAAGGATGAAGGTCAAAACTCAACCCTCAAAACCTGGTTATCCCAGATATGCTAATGGACAATATATGCTAATGTGCTGTGAGAAAACCGGAATGTTTTATCTTAAGCAGGGGATCACCAGGTTGAACAAAGCCTACATGAATGTACTACATTTACGCAAACCATTATGAAAAGTATACAACCCGTAGATGGGAGTTCTTCAAGCACTCTAAGGTGAAAGTGACTATGTAACAGAAGAAAATAAACCAGGCTAAGGTCTGGGGCTCATTCTAGCTACACTTCTAATTATAATGTACTCTGGGTGACATCTGAACTAGAGATCCACAGACCTCTTTAGAGGCCATCCAATCTCTTTAGAAGACAACTCAACTAGAGAAAGAGCCTCACTGGCCATTTAAATGTATCAGGAACAAAGAGAAGTAAGACTCTGTATACAATGTCTGCTTCAAAAAGATTATGTGTATTAAAAAAATCAAGAAGAAAAAATCTTAACATTCACTAATAACTTCGTGGTCAAATATTTAAAAGTCCAGGACTTAAAAAGGTCAGTTTGTGTAACATGTCTTGGAAAGGGTACGAAGGTTCATCCTCACAGTCGTTCAACTGCAGTCTTCTGCCTGACCACTGGATGTGGCCCCATCATCAGCTGAATCTGCACTTTCGCAAGTGACACAGGCCTTCAAAAAAGAACAAAAGCAGGTGCGTTAGCTGATGTCAATGTCACCTGAAGAGTTTTAAAACAGTAAAAGGCTGGTCAAGCAACATGTTTCTAACTCCCCAACTTATTCATGTCTGAAAATATTCATTAGAGCTCATTCTTTATTATTAAAAGGCAAATGACAAATTGTTTAAATGCAGTCACGTGCCGCATGGCGTTTCAGTCAACAACAGACTACATATGTGATGGTGGTCTTTCAAGATTATCCTACCATATTTTTATGGTGCCTTTTCTATGTTTAGATACACAAGTACCACTGTGTTACAACAGACTACAGTATTCAGGCTAGTAACAGCTGTATAGGTTTGTAGCCTAGAATCAAACAGCTACCCCATAGAGCCTAGGAGTGTGTGTAGCAAGCTACCCCACCTCGGTTTGTGTGAGCACACTCTAGGATGCTTGCACAAAACATCCCCGTCACTAAGTGGTGCATGGGCTGCGCTTTTGTTTAAATTGCTGTGGGCCTCATCCTTCATATGCGTGTCTCTTTAAAACCAGAAGAACAACACTGAAAAAAAACAAAGACACTTAACAGTAACCAGCCCAGCTCCTGCTTTTTGGTGAGACCCTATCCAGTCATTCTTACATGACAGACACTCATTCTTTTCTTCGAAAATGGAGATGGGGAGATGATTCTGAGAAGATGGCAGAGTAGGAGGACTAGGACTCTATCTCCTCACCTAGACAACTGCACTGACAAAATCAGTCCGAGGTAACTATCTGGAACTCGAGTGTATTTGAAGGCCTGCAACTTTCCGGGGAACGCTTAGAGGGTAAGCTGTGGTTGCCTGTGGTCAATTTCAGCTTGAAGCACAGTAGCAACTACCCATCCCTGACCCTGGGCAAGGCACGTGTTCCTGGAGCAGCCTGCACACGGCTTGTGGGAGTCAGGATGGGAAATAAGGACCCTGTCTTCCAACAATCAAAAAATGAAAATAATAATCAATACACCCTGGGATAGGAGAGAATCTGGTTTCCAGAATTACGACTTTTATTAGATTCAAATGTCTATTTTCAACCAAAAAAAAAAAATCATTAAGGCATACAAAGAAACTGCAAAGTACAGCCCCAGCGTGTCCAACCTGCTGTCCATGAGCCACAGGAGGCACACAATGGGTTTGAATCTAGCCCAACACAAGTTTGTAAACTTTCTTAAAACATGAGGTTTTTTTGGTGACTTATTATTATTTTTTTGCTCATCAGCTATTGTTAGTATTAGTATATTTTATGTGTGGCCCAAGACAATTCTTATTCTTACAATGTGGCTCAGGGAAGCCAAAAGATTGGACAGTCCTGGTATAGGCCATTCAAAGGAAAAAAATAAACCATTAGCAAAAGTCTCTGAGAAAGACCAGATAAAAGAATTGCTGGACAAATATTTTAAAACAACTGAAAGATGATCAAAGAACTTGTGGGGCACAGTGGCTCAAGCCTGTAATCCCAGCACTTTTGAAGTCCCAGGCAAGTGGATGGCTTGAGCCAGGGCAACATAGCGAGACCCCCATCTCTAAAAAAATAAAATAAAATAAAGTTGGCCAGGCACTGTGGCACACATTTGTAGTCCCAGCTACTTGGGAGGATCACCTGAAACTAGGAGGTGGAGGCTGCAGTGAGCTCTGATCATGCCACTGCACTCCAGCCTGGGTGACAAAGTGAGACTGTCTTAAAAAAAAAAAAAGAAAAAGAAAAAAACAAACAAAAAAAAGCTGGGTGCAGTGGCCCATGCCTATAATCCCACCATTTCAGGAGGCCAAGGCAGGTGGATTGCTTGAGCTCAAGAGTTCAAGACCAGCCTGGGCAACATGGCAAAACCCATCTCTACAAAAACTAAAAAATTAGCTGGGCATGGTAGTGTGTGCCAGCTACTCGGGAAGCTGATGTGGCAGGGCTGCCTGAGCTCAGAAGGCTGAGGCTGCAGTGAGCCAGGATCATGCCACTGCATTCCAGCCTCGGTGCCAGAGTGAGGCCTTGTCTTAAAAAAAAGAAAAGAAAAATATGATGAAAGAATTAAAGAAAGGCATGGAGAAAAATCAAGAAAACAATGTACAAACAAATGGAAATATCAATAGATAGAAAACCTAAAAAGAAGCCAGAAAGAAATTCTGTAAATAAAAAGTACAAAACTGAAATAAAAAATTCACTAGAGGGATTTAAAAGCAGATGTGAGCAGGCAGAAGGAAGAATCTGTATATGAAGACAGGACAATTGAAATTGTCAAGTCTGAGAAACAAAAGGAAAAAACACAGAAGAAAAGTCAACATAGCCTGGAGGACATGTGGGATACCATCAAGTGGACCAACGTAAGCACTATGGAGGTCCCAGAGGAAGCAAAAGAGAAAGAGGCAGAAAGATCATTAAAAAAAAAAAAGGCTGAAAACTCCCCAGATTTGATGAAAGACATGAATATAAACATCCAAGGGGCTAAATGAACTCCAACTAGGATGTACTCAGAACTCAGAGATCCACACTGAGACACACTGTAATTAAATAGCGTGAAGTCAAAAACAAAGAGAATCTTAAAAGCAGCAAGGGTAAAGCAACTCATCACATGCAGAAGACTCCTGATAAAGTTATCAGCAGATATCTCATCAGAAACTGTGTAGGCCAGAAGGCAGTGGCCCATTGTATTCAAAGCGCTTAAAGAAAAAAAACTGTCAACTAAGAAATCCTTTGGCCATACTGTTCTTCAAAAGTAAGGGAGAAGTGAAGACATTCCCAGATAAACAAAAGCGAGTGGAGTTTGATACCACTAGACTTATCATCCAAGAAATGCTAACAGGAGGCCTTCAGGGTTGAAATGAAAGGACACTGACAGTAACTTGAAGCTGTATGAAAAGATAAAGATTCCAGCGAAGGTAAATATTATTATTGCAACAACGATGTATAATTCCACTTTTGTTTTTAGAAACTAATACACTCAAAGAAAACTAGTCTATAAAAGACAGTATTAACTTTGATTTGTAATCCCATATTTTGATTTCTATATAATTTAATAGATTAATGCATAAAAATGATTATGTTTTTGGGAGCACAATGCACAAATACCTAATTTTATACCTTCAGTAACTGAAAGAAGATGGAGATGGAACGCTATAGAAGCAGAGTTTCTGTAGGTTATCAAAGTTAAGCTGGTATAAATTCAAACTGGAGTGATATAATGTTAGAATGCTGAATGTAATCCCCATGGCTATCACAAAGAAAATAGCTACACAATATACACAACAGGAAAAGAGCAGGGCATTACATTTCACTTCAAGAAACCAACTAAACACAAAAGATGACAGTAATGCAGGAAATGAGGGAAAAAAACATTTAAGGCACATGGAAAACAAATAGCAAAGTGACACAAGTAAATCCCTCTTTACCAGTAATTACTTTAAATGTAAATGGGCTAAATTCTCCAATCAAAAGAGACTGACTGAACAGATTTTTAAAAGCACCATTCAGATATATGCTATTTACTCACTTTAGACGTAGACACAAATAGGTTGAAAGTGAAAGGACGTAAAATGATATTACATGCAAATAGTAACCAAGAGAGAGTCACAACAAGACAAATAATGTATGATTCCACTCATAAGGTGTGTAGAATAATCAAGTTCATATGTCTCTTGCCTGTAATCCCAGCACTTTGGGAGGCTGAGGCAGGTGGATCACTTGAGGTCAGGGCTTTGAGACCAGCCTGGCCAACATGGTGAAACCCTGTCTCTAGAAAAATTAGCTGGGCATGGTGGTGTGCACCTGCAATCCCTGCTACTCTGGAGGCTGAGGCAGGAGAATTGCTTGAACCTGGGGGCAGAGGTTGCAGTAAGCCAAGATCATGCCACTGCACTCCAGTGTGGGCAAGAGAACAAGACTCTGTTTCAAAAGAAAAAAAAAAAGAAAAAAGAGAAAGTAGACCAGTGGTTGTAAAGGCTTGGGAGAAGGAGGAAAGGGGAAGTTATTTTTTTTTTTAATTGTATTTGGGCTCTGGGGTACATCTGCATGTCCTGCATCCTGCAGGATTGTTGCATAGGTACATATATGCCATGGTGGTTTGCTGTCTCCATCTCCCCACCCACCCATTGCCTATGTCAGGCATTTCTTCTGGTGTTATCCCTCTCCATCCTCCCCGCCCTAACCCCTGTCCCTCCCCTTCACCCCCCCACCTAGCCCTGTAAATGTTTTTCCCTTCCTTGTGCCCAAGAGCTCTCATTGTTCATCACACGACTATGAGTGAAAACATGCGGTGTTTGGTTTTCTGTTCTTGTGTCAGTTTGCTGAGAATGATGGTTTCTAGGTTCATCCATGTCTCTACAAAGGACACGAATTCATCGTTTTTTATGGCTGCATATGGTATATATGTGCCACATTTTTTTTGTCCAGTCTATCATCGATGGGCATTTGGGTTGGTTCCAGGTCTTTGCTATCATGAACAGCAACCCATCGAACATACGTGTGCATGTGTCTTTATGACAGAACAATTTATAATCCTTTGGGTATATAGCCAGTAATGGGATTGCTGGGTCACATGGAATTTCCATTTCTAGATCCTTGAGGAATCGCCACACTGTCTTCCACAATGGTTGAACTAATTGACACTCCCACCAACAGTGTAAAAATTGGGGAAGTTATTGATTAATGGGTAGAGTTTCGGTTTTGCAAAATGAAGAGTGTTCTGGAGATGGATGGTGGTGATGGTTGCAAGTGAAAATAATTAATATTCCTGAATTATATACATAAAAATAGTTCAGAAGGTAAATTTTATGTTATGTGTATTATACCACAATAAAAAAGTGCTAATTTTTAAGAAGGGGGGAATAGGATTTCATTGTTTTGCTTACTTCATAAGCCTTAATATCATACCTTTTTAAAACACCTAACTTTATTCTCGTTTTTAAATATTTACACACACACTTTTTCTTTTTTGAGACCAGCTGGAGTGCAGTGGTGACATCATAGCTCACCATAGCCTCAATTTCCCAGGCTCAAGTGATCCTCCTGCCTCAGCCTCCTGAGTAGTTGGGACTATAGGTGCAAGCTACCACACCTATAAAAAAAAAGTGCAAGCTACTTTTTTTGATTTTTGTTAGAGATGAGGTTTGTCTGTGCTGCCCAGTGTGGCCTCCAACTCCTGATCCTCTCGCCTTGGCTGCCCAAAGTGCTGGGCTTACAGATGTGAGCCACTGGGCTACGCCTATTTGCTATTGTTTTTATTTTGACTCTTCAACCTCCCATAACTTGATACTTGTGGGAATAAAGACCTCATTACTAGTACAACCATCTCTACCATTACCACAGCTGCCACCAACACTGGTTGGGACCATGGGTAAATCGAAGCTTTACTGGTTCAGGGTATTCACAAATGATGTCATTGAGAAGACCTCATAACAGCAAAAAGACACTTAGGTCCCATTAAAGTTGCTGCTTGGCATGAATACTACCCTCTGGTGTGAATCTTATATCTTTTTTAACTCTTTTCAAACATGGAGACGTATTTGAAATATATAACAAGTCACATGTCAAATGCAGCCAATCACACATCAACGCAGGTATTTTGACTCTTTCTTGTCTCCCAACTTTTAGCTGGTGGAAGCAAAAAAACCACTTGGATGCAAAAAGATCTGTGTTCAAAACCCTATGAACTGCATGACCTTGTACTAATTATCTAACCTGTGTATACCTTACTTGTTGCTTACTGGTAAAGAGAAAATAATAACACCTACCACAGAAGTAAACTGTGAAGATTAAAGTTTGTACTGGGATCATGCAAAAGCATGACCTATAAGAAAACCACTACCTGTTAAAAACACATGAGTAGATGACAGCCATTATTACTGTGCTTACTTGAACGTCAATTTCCTGAGGGATAGCCTGGCTTTGAATCCAATTATACACCTTGGCCAGCTCTTCCTGTTGCCCCTGAGAAAACTGGGGCTGCTGCTGCTTCATACTCTCTAGCCTTTCTAGGTCTTCTTTTAGTACAACTTCTTTAACCCTGAAAACAAACAGAATCGTAAGAGTCCTGAATCAGACACAGGGTTCTCTTCATGTCATCTAGCAATATCATTTCTTTTTGGTTGGTAATACACCTTACATTTTCTAACATATGAGGCATACAATTCAAAAATAACTAGAGCATTTCCTTGTCAAGTAGGTAAAGTAGACTTTTTTCTTGGTGGAAAATATCTGTATGATGTTTTAATGAGGTGTATGGAAGAAAGTGATTTCCCTTAGCTGTTTTCTTTCAGAACAAGGAAAAAAAATCGAGAGTCTAAAACGAAAAGTTCTTGTACTTGAGTGCCATCTCGGAAAGCACAGACTTTCTGTTTCCTTGTCTCATGATGTGTAAGCTTTGGATCTCAATATAGGTGGCACTATCACTGCCACCCTTATTTTAAGAAATCATCATTTGACTTCAAATGAATAAATTTGAAAATACATTTCTCAAAGGGAAGTTATAAAACATTCAAAAATTATTTTGTCTTTAAAAACACATTAAGAAACTATAGGCTGGGCGCGGTGGCTCACACCTGTAATCCCAGCACTTTGGGAGGCTGAGGCGGGTGGATCACCTGAGGTCAGTGGTTCAAGACCAGCCTGGCCAACATGATGAAACTCTGTCTTGGCCAGGTGCAGTGGCTCACGCCTGTAATCCCAGCACTTGGGGAGGCTGAAGTGGGTGAATCACTTGAGGCCAGGAGTTTGAGACCAACCTGAACAACATGGTGAAACCACAGCTCTACTAAAAATACAAAAAACTACCCAGATGTGATGGTGCATGCCTGTAATCCCAACTACTCAGGAGGTTGAGGCAGGAGAACAGCTTGAATCGGGGAGGCGGAGGTAGCAGTGAGCTGAGATCGTGCCACTGCACTCCAGCTTGGGCGACGAGAGACTATGTTTCAAAGAAAAAAAAGAAAACCAAAAACCCTGTCTCTACTAAAAATGCAAAAATTAGTCAGGTGTGGTAGTGTGCGCCTGCAATCCCAGCTACTCAGGAGGCTGAGGCAGGAGATCGCTTGAACCTGGGAGGCAGAGGTTGCAGTGAGCTGAGATTGTGCCACTGCACTCCAGCCTGGGTGACTGAGACTCCATCTCAAAAAAGAAAAAAAGAAACCATGAAAATATAAAAAGTGGGTCTTCTAAAGTGCTTTCTTACCTCTCAGGTACCTGATACGTCATGAGAATGCACTCAGGTGTCTGTCGTATCATTCTCCAGATGGACTCTTCGGCGACATTGGGAAATATTTCTTTTTTCTGTACATCCTGAGATTGCTGCCCATTTTGGGAGATTTCAGAAGAATAAGCACTACTAGTAAAGTATATACTGCAGTCACTGCTTCCTGTCAAAAATCAACAACAAATAATTAGAAAAGACCTGTCTGGCTGATTTGGCAAGCTGGTTCTCATTCTTCAAAGACTCTTGCCTCAGACAGTCCCTCTCATCCGCCAGCCCAACCATTATTTCCAGGAAACATCCTCCTCCCTGTGAACAGGGTTCTCTGGTCTTCCCAAGATCTCTTTTTCCATTCCTAATGAGCCATCACTCTCAAGGCTACACATATTGTCCTTTATCATCACCCATAACTGTTCCATCTCCAAAATCATTAACATCTCAGCTTCACTTTCTCATTGGCTTGTTCAATTATTTCAACCATAAACTTATCTCAGTCTTCCGGTAGTTCCTTCACTATTCAGCCTAAGCCCTCAGTTCATCATTCAGTAACACACCTTGCAATACCTTAGACTTCTTTTTCCCTTTGACTTTTCATAACTGTCAAAATGCCAACTCCAATAAAGCCAATTATTGACTTTGTTCTTACCTAAACCAAAGTAGCCAAATGCATGGAAAAAGTCACATATAGGGTCCAGTGTTTCTACAATAAATTCATCATCACCAACCTCAAATGGACTATCAAAATGCCTGGGAATCCTGCTACCATCCTCTGGTCAATGCACTAACCTACCCCAGCAATAATTATTTTCACCTTCTCTGTTTCCTCCCTCACTCTCAACTATTTTACGAAGAAAAAAGAAGGCATCTGAAAGCAAATTGCTCAGCTTCATGATACCAAACATACACAATTAATCATATATGTACTCCCTCCTCACCTTCCACCTGTCACAAGAGAGAAACTTCATCCCAAAAACCATACTTTTATTGCTGCTTATGAAGCCTTAGGATCATTCCTTTCCTATCTTGCATTTGACTCTTCTAGATCCTTCTCATTGACTCTGAAGGAATTAAAAATACAAAACAAAAAGATTTGTCTAATTTTTTTTAAAAAAACTAAATATATGGGTAAACGTAATAAAACATTTTCCTCATTAAAAAATATCTTTAGGTTGGGCATGGTGGCTTACACCTGTAATCCTGGCACTTTGGGAAGCCAAGATGAGACCATTGCTTGAGGCCAGGAGTCCGAAACCAGCCTGGGCAACACAGTGAGATCCCATCTCCATAAAAATAAAAAATCAGCTGAGTGTGGTGGTGTGTGCCTGTAGTCCCACCTACTCAGGAGGCTGAGGCTGAAGGATTGCTTGTGCCCAGGCGTTTGAGGCTACAGTGAGCTATGATTGCACCAGCGCACTCTAGCCTGGGTGACAGAGTGAGACCCTGTGTCAAAAAAAACACAACAACAACAACAACAACAACAAAACACCCACACAAGAAGACTTTAAAAGATTATTACTGTTTAAAGCAAAAATAATACAATGTTATTGTGGGCTTTTTTACACATGTTAAAAGGATGACAAAAATAGCACAAAAGACAAGGGGGAAATGGAAGTACTCCGTTTTAAGGTTCTAATACATAAAGTGATACAATAGGTATAATATTTGAAGGTAAACTGTGATAAGTAAAAGATGTACACTGTAAATCCTAGAGCAGGCCATGCATGGTGGCTCATGCCTGTAATCCCAGCACTTTGGGAAGCTGAGGTGGGCAGATCACCCGAGGTCAGGAGCTTGTGACCAGCCTGGCCAACACGGTGAAACGCTGTCTCCACTAAAAACACAAAAAATCATCTGGGTGTGGTAGCACATGTCTGTAGTACTGGCTGATTGGGAAGCTGAAGCAAGGCAGGAGAATAGCTTGAACCTGGGAGGTGGAGGTTGCAGTAAGCAGAGATCATGCCACTGCACTCCAGCCTGACTCAGAGCGAGACTCAGTCTCCAAGAAAAAATAAAAATAAAAAAGTAAATCCTAGAGCAAAAACTTAAAAAAAAACCGGTATACTTGAAAAGCCAATACACAATTAACCCAAAAGGAGGAGAGTGGGAGGAAAAAAACAAAGGGCAGATGAGACCAACAGAAAATAGCAGCAAGACAAAAGACTTAACTTAAACCTAACCATATCAATAGTCACATTAAATGTAAATAGTCTAAGCAAGCACTGCAGTAAAAGGCCGAGATCATCATATGGATAAAAAGCAATACCCAACTCTGTGGCGGTTACAAGAGACTCACTTTAAATATAAAGACACAGATAAGTTAAAAGTAAAGAGATGAAAAACAAAATACCATGTAAACACTAATCAAATAAAGCTGGACTGGATACACTGATATCAGACAAAGCAGACTTCAAAGCAAGACATATTTCAGGATAAAGAGATCAATTCAGCTGGCTGTGGTGGCTCACGCCTGTAATCCCAGCACCCTGGGAGGCTGAGGCGGGTGGATCACGAGGTCAAGAGATTGAGACCATCCTGGCAAACATGGTGAAACCCTGTGTCTACCAAAAATTAGCTGGGCGTGGTGGCGGGTGCCGGTAGTTCCAGCTACTTGGGAGGTTTTGATAGAAGAATCGCTTTAACCTGGGAGGCGGAGGTTGCAGTGAGCCGAGATTGTGCCACGGCACTTGGGCCTGGCAACACAGTGAGACTCCGTCTCAAAAATCAAGAGGACATAATAACCTTCAGTGTATATACACCTAATAAAAGACCTTCAAAATACATGAAGCAAATACTGATTGCACTATAAGAAAAAATAGAGAAATCCACAATTATAGCTGGACATATAAGAGCCGTATCATAATAACTTGTAAAACAGATAGAAAATCAGTTAGAATAGAGAAGGTTGGATCAATGTCACCAACCAACTTGATCTAATTTACATTTATAGAACACATGACTCAACAATAGCAGAACACATACTCTTTTCAAATGCACATGAAACATTCATCAAGATGGACCAAATTCCAGACCACTACACAATGTCTCAGTAAATTTACAAATACAAAAAAATGTTCTCTGATTACATTTAAATTAGAAATAAAATAAAAATATCTAAAAAGTCTCCAAATATTAGGAAATCAAGTCTTTCTAAATAATCCAAAGATCAAAGAAGAAAATACAAGTGAAATTAGAAATATTTTAGACTGGCCAGGCACAGTGGCGTGTGCCTGCAGTCCTAGCTACTCAGGAAGCTGAGGCCAGAGGGTTGTTGAGCCCAGGAGTTTGAGGCTGCAGTGAGCTGGGATCATACCACTGCACTCCAGCCTGGGCAGTCAAGTGAGACCTTGGCTCAAAAAAAAAAAAAAAAAAAAAAAAAAAATTAAATAAAATTAAAAAATTTAATATAACAAAACCATTAAAAAAAAAAAAAAAAAAAAAAAAAAAAAA